CGAAGCGAACATCCTGTCAAATGTCAAGGCCGCAGCTTTCCACTCTAAATTGCACAAGAATGTCTTTTCTAAAGATATCCTCCTTCCCCATACAATGCTTGAGTTGTTTGCTCTGTTAATCATGTGTGACGTTGATACTCGGTGTTGTTAACCTTCTTGAAAAGTAAAAAAAAAAACTAAAACTACGAATGAAACGGAACTATCCTATTATTTTCTGATCTGAAGGCTGTCGTTGGGCTCAATTTTATAGATGTGATAGAGCAAGCACAAAGATGAATTTTAATATGCAATGTGATTTTCTTATTTACCGAAAACGTGGCCAGTTGTACAGTACAATCAGTGTTTGGCATACTTGTTTCTAGGTATAGATGTTGTGAGACAAAAAGACGTCAATGACAAATTTAAATTTCGTGAGTTTATTACAAGCATTGATTGCTGAACACGCAGTTAATACAGCTCATTTAATATTTTTGATAAAAATATTACAGTTTAGAGAAAAGAGACAACATTATCATCATAGCGCCCGTTCTCTCCTTCCTCAACGGGCTATTTATCTCGTAGTAAAATATTAACTACACGATATCCATTTTTTAAAATGTTTTTAGTGAAACTTTTTAGTGGACTTTTTTCATTATTTTTGTATTGCTTTTGATAATTAACATAATTGGTTATTTAATTAGACTTTCTGGCTTCTTTGTAAATTTTGAACTAGCTACCTGCTAACGACACCAGCTAAACGCCCGGTTTCACCTTTTAACATTAGATTTCACCGTAAAATGTGTCTTGAATTCCCCCCCCTCCCATCCCCAATGTTTACGTTTTTTTGCTCTGTTAATCGGGTGTGAAGTTATTCTTCCATTTTGTTACGTAATCATTACCATGAACAGTGTTTCACTCTGACAGTGGCGAGATTAGTTATCCTGTCATCTGAGGCCCGTAACCGCCATCTTGGTAAAGGATGATTTTGCCCTGACACGCTCTATACTACTACTAAATAGGCGAAACGTTTTACAACAAAAAAATTCGAAAAACGTAATTATTCACTCTTCTGTATGTTTAAACAGCATAAATCACATCATGATAGTAATTTAGTAATTTATCTTCTTATTATGCGTTGTCGTGTTTTCGCGACATCAAGCAACGAGACGTAAAATTGTACTTGGGTGCATTGAGTATAATTATAAATAACTGTATGATAACGTATTTCTTTTTTCCAAATATACTTATATATATTTACGTATATATATAAATAATTATATAAATAATATAAAATAATTATATATATATATATATATATATATATATATATATATATATATATATATATATATATATATATATATATATGTGTGTGTGTGTGTGTGTGTGTGTGTGTGTGTGCATAAGACTAATTTACATCTCACTGCATATAGCTAGTCCAAGGGTTGGTGTTTTCGCTGCCTTATTTACTTTAGCACATGCAACGAGGAGGTATCTCTAAATTGAATATAATGTCAAACGTCGGTTCTTACAGGGATGCTAAATGCTGGTCTTTGCTTTAGAGGTGCTGATACATTTTGTCAGTGGCGTAGCGAGGTCGGGTATCACCCGGTGCGGCACTTAATGGTGTCACCCTCCCCCCGTAAATTTAAAAAAAAAATATATATTTATATACACACATACACACGCATTTATATAAATACAAAAACAAATAAATTTAATATATATATATATATATATATATATATATATATATATATATATATATATATATATATATATATATTTATTTTTTTTGAATATATATATATATATATATATATATATATATATATATATATATATATATATATATATATATATATATATATATATATATAAGTATGTATATACGCATGTGTATATGTATTTACATTTATATTTTTTCGGAACTTTTTTTACATTCCCCCCCCCCACATCTATAGATTAACATATAATTTACTGCGATTCTCAACCAAACCGTTTACCTCCCGACCACAAGGCGATTGCTTTATACTAAGCTCGGACATAATACTAACATTTGTTATCTACGCCCCTGCATTTTGTGACGTATCATCATTATTCAACATTAGCTAAAATACATTTCAAAAGCGTACAAATAATCCATTGTTAATGCTTTGTTAATCTCTCCAAAAATAAAAGGCAATTAAAAAATTAGAGAGGTTTACTCGCTAAGAAAATTGGATGAAGCAGAGGCGTCCCGAGGCGGGGACGGTGGGTGCGGACCGCACAGGGTGATAACATTTATGGGTGTGACACTAAGACGAACAATTGCATGACGTAAAGAAGAAAAATTGCTTTTTTTGCGAGTGTAGTTAATGAATAATTAAAAGCTTAAAAGTCTTATAAATACACATTGACCATCTCGACAATACATTCTCACACACATACACACATGCACAAACACACGCACACACACACACACACATATATATATATATATATATATATATATATGTATGTATGTATGTATGTATGTATATAAGTATGTATATATACTTTTTTCCTTTGGTGTGTTTAGGAGGGAATGACACCATGCAGTGAAGCACCGGGAGACACCCGCACTTGCGACGCCGCTGAGATATAACTTTCAGTTCTCATAAGTCCAGACAGAAACGAAGCCACAAATGCAAACATGAAAGCTGTGCAGTCATGGATCTGAAGATGGGCTGGTTATTGATTAGCAGGTACTATCCAGTTTTAGTTGAGTGAGAATAACTGTTTTTGTAAATTGATCTTGTACTGATGATCATAAAAAGTGTTATTTTACTGGATATGCGGAATATTTTTTTTTACTCAATTTTGTTACTTTTTTTTAGACATGTGCAAACTCATGCAATGGCATGAAAAATTCATGACCTAGGAGAATAGTTTTTTTTTGTTTTTCAAGGTTTTTTACTTTCTCGTATATACAAAGTATAGAGAAAGTATTGTAATCGTGCAAAAAAAAATCGAGATTTTTACAAATCTCGACGTTTTACACCTCACTGATACGGAAAAACATAATTTTGCAATCATGTCCGTATGTCTGTGTGTCTGTCTTTGTGGGTGTGTGTCTGTCTGTGTGTGTGTGTGTAAACACGATAACTTGAGTACCGTTACAGCTAGGTTGATGAAACTTCATATATAAGTATTTTATCAAAATTGTAGATCCGTATCAACTTTTGAGCGATTTCCGATAACCGGAAGTGGAACGTTTTCTACTTTGAATTTTTCAAAGTACTATTTCAGATAGGTAAACGAGATTTCACATGTAAGTAACAAATCTAATTTTCTACCTTCTTTCAAATTTTGAGTAATTTCCGTTGACCGGAAGTACGAATTTACGCTATTTCCGATTTCTCAAAAAACGCATGTAAATTTATAAAGTAATAATAATATTGCGCACTATTATGCACATTTTGTTTTGGCGTTCGTTTAATGCGCAATTCTTTTTTCTACTAGATCTAGATTCTATTCTATTTTTAAAAGTTTAAGTAAACAAAAATCATGTCTATATTCCGAGTTGCCATCCCACGTAGTGTTATACTAGAATATTCGAGAAAGTTTAGGGGAGATCACTCCCGGTTTTTTTCTTATAGTTTTCATATTTGTTTCCTAAGTAGATTCATTTTGTGTGCGCCCTGAAGTATATTTCAGGGAAAAAAAATAATGACGAGCAAACTTTATGAACAAGGTGTTAGGAAATCCTTTGGTCATACAGCACACTAATACAAAGTAAATAAAATATATCATGTGATTATCCTCTTTATCATATATATCACACTTAAACCTCGAGAACAAGTTTTAAGATAGTTGATGATTATTACAAACGCTCAGGAAAAAGCAACTTATCACTTAATAAGCTGTATAAATTCATAAGTTTGTAGTCCTCCTTTAGTTAGTGTACTTAAAGGAGAATATGTGCATGTATTAGGGACTGTTATGAAAGTATGGCTTTCATGGCAACGGTGGCCGTCGTAAATAAAACATCAACCGTGGAGTAGGTCTTAAGGTGCCAAAACAAACATATACATTAATCATGTAATCATTTTTGCTTCTGTTATTTACGCTTTTAGATTCAAGCGGCTAATATTTGTAACAGAAAATACTCTGTACAATTTTTTTCTAATTTTTAAATTGTGTACAACTAAGAAACGATGCAACACTTGCTGTGTTAGCATAATGTCTTTTAATATTTTAATATCTGGAGTATAAAGAAAGTGTATACATAGTGCTAATATGTATCAATAAAAAAGTAAATGTTTCAAATGCTTTAACAAAAGTATGTACACAAAATTTTATAATAATGGTGAAATTAGTTAAGGAAAACATGGTAATAAATTAACGAAATGTGATTATGTACATTAGTTACAAATATTTAACTAAGATGGTAATATTCTATTAGTATGCAACTAGTCTTCTACTTTCTGTTAATATACAATATTGTCTATAATATGGATTTAATACAAGAGCAATAAAAACTGACATTATTTTTTTATGTTTAACCCATTATTTTTATGATTGTTTTAACGTCACCATCCATTACACTTCAGTATCAGTTGTGTCTTGATTGCTTGCATCTTCTGCCCCATCCCATTTATGGTATCCGAACGAGATAGGCAGAGAAGGGTCATCGGGGTCAATGGGGTGTATGTAGCTTTGGTCGTCTTCCTCGTCTATTTGTTCAGTCTTAATTAGGAGAGAAGGACTGCCTTGACAACTGTCTACGTGAATGTATTTTGGCTCTGAACTGTCAAGCGTATTTCCTTCATCATCTAAGCTTGAATTTATTAAGCTAAGGTACTCGTCATTATCTGTGTTTTTAATTTCGTTTTGGACATCAATTTCTTCTTTCGTGTTATCGGCTGTAGTTGGTTTTGATGGAGTAAGGTACCCATCTTTGTCTGTGTTAATTACATCGTTATCACCATGTGATTTATTGTGAGGGTCATCGGTAAACGAAAAATATTTGTTTTCTTCTGTACGGGTAGTGCGTGTCATTATGTCATTAAGGAATGGTAGCCGTTCATTGTAGACGTTGTTTCTGATTCTCCACTAATTTCATCGAGGTTTTCACTAGATTCTTCTGTTGGATTGACTGAGTCGATCTTCAACTCCGATGACTCACATGCTTCAGTACAATCTACATTTGATGTGTCGTTTAACCTCAAAAAGTTACTTTCTATTAGATCAGTTTCTTCAGCATTATCTTCTTCTTGTGAATCACTAGTAACGCCAGTATTCATTAAATCTATTGATATGTCATTCAAGCTGTGTTTTGTATTTTTGATGGGCACAAGTCCTAAATCAATATACTGATTCGGTTGTGGACGTGGGGGTAGAGGTGGTGAGTTGACTTGGACAAATTCAGGATTTATTCCTCGTAACATATTGTACTTGTCATAGTGGTCTGCATCGACACACATCTGGTTTATTGTGTCGTCAAGAGAATCATAGGCCTCTTCGTCTGTTTAAATAATAAGTGCAAGTTAAATGTGCAAAACAGCATAACTAAAGAAAGTAATTATAAGGATTCAGCATAAGAAGCAATCTTAGAAAATTTAAATGAAAGTAGTACGTCTTCTTACTTTCGTGTGTTGAATCGGGTCGTTCTTCGCGGTTCCTTTTAACAAGAAAAGTTAGAGTAAGTTATATAAGAAATGCATTCACGCTGTATTAGATGTGTAACAATTATATTGTTCAAACCTAAAGTGTAATTAATAGAGGTTTTGATTTCATAAATTCAGCTCTATTCTATTGGAGGACGATAATGTCGTATATATATATATATATATATATATATATATACGAGCCGACCCGCAGCGTATCATACGCCGTTATTTAGTTGTTTTATTTTCTACTTTTAAGTAATTCATAATTTGTGAATTCGACAGTACCAATGCTGCCACTGAAAATATTTGCTTTAAAACACTACCCCCCCTTTCCCCTAACCCCGACCCTACACCCCCCCCCCCCCCCGTGAAAGCAGCCTCCTCTTAGTTATTTCTTAGTTAGCTCCTGTAAGTTTAAAATCGAACTAAATTATCTGCCCCTAATAGATTTGTAAACATTTAGCTTTGTAAACATTTAACGTGACCACAGCTCACCAGACAATGTGGGGGTGGGGTGGGGGTGGTAGTGATAGTGATAGAGAGAAAGAGAGGGGACTGCAAGGAGGCGCTTGCAGCTTGTTTTCTAACGGCTCCCAGAAGAGAATTATATATATATATATATATATATATATATATATATATATATATATATATATATATTGAAAGTAATTGAATTTAGTAATAACATAGATAGAGAAATATTTTCAACAGCTCAATTTGACTCCAATTTACCTTGTATTTTGTCCAGTTTTTGCATTCCAATGAAATATTCTACCATAAATTGGGATACTAGCAATTACCAGAAGAACAACAAAAACCAAGGATCCAACTGTTGCACCTGTTATCATCCCAATGTCGGGCTGAGCTGAAACAATTTCAAAAATTTATTCGAATTCATATTAAAAGGGTTAAGCTGCTTTTTCTAAGAAAAATATGCGTGGGTGTACGGTAGAATGCAAAAGCGCTAATCCAAAAGTGTAGTTTGAACCACGGGCTCGAGTACATCCATAAATATTCCCAGCTTTGCTGGACATCAGAATCAAGTTATGGGAAGTTAAGGCAGTTTGGCATAGGGCCAGAGGCGTAGCGACCCCTCTCTGCGTCCTGGCTGAACATTAATGTTAGATTTTCGATCATTTAAATCTTTATTCGACGCCAATTAAATTTTCCTTAATTATACACACATATATATATAAGGAGGGGGGCACGACATTTTTTCAGGGTGGCCTTTTTTCCGCCTGATGATGTGCCTGGCACGTATCCGGAGCATGTACCCGGTGCAGTTTTGAATGCTGAATCAAGTAGTACCCTGATCGCTGATTCCAGGTACTTAGATAGCTTAGGTTAGGTTAGACAGCAGCGCATCATGGATAGAGGACGCTAAAAAGAGCTTTCATTGCACATGTGATCATGGCTTGACTACTTTGTGTCTTTTTCCAGGTCAAGCCTCCAGGTCTTCTTCTGTCGGCAACTTCTCCCTTTGCACTCTGGATTTTTAGATCGTCCATTTTCTGTGGAGGATTTGATTTTCCGCTGGGGGCTACCATGGTAACATCATTTCTGAACGTTAAATGCGAATATGTTCGAATGATCCTCCTAAGGCATGAGTTTATAAATATTTGTCTTTTCGTTTGCAACGCTTCTATCTTTTTCCATCTCTCATCTATATAGAGTAGAAAGAGGTTTGACTTTTGTGGTGAAGACCTGGATTTTTATTCCAAGAATTACACATCCATATGTTATTGGTTAAACACCCCTCTGGTCTTGCCCTTCCTGATTTTTATGTCTGATTCTATCCAGTTAATAATATAACCTTGGTTCATTAATGTTATTTTCAAAAAAATATATATCACAGGGCCCCCAGCGACCCATGTGAGCTTTTGGGAACCAAACTGAAATTTTTGTTTGCAGCCAAATCGTACCCTACCATGGCGCCGACGTTAACGCCTAATTCAATTTAGTGAGCGACTGTAACGCCCCATTTTATCTATTGTCTATAACACTGTTTAGAATAAACGTAGTCGCCATAGCGCTCAAGGGAAAGACCAAGGCGCCAAATCGCATCCTGCCGGGGGCCGCCCGTGCAAAATTCACCCTCCCCCCAAGAAACCATCTCAGGGGTATTCATTAACTCCCTAAAGTTTTATGGCACTTTGCAAAACGGTGTCTAAACGCATCAGACTTTCATTTTTTTAAAACTGTATCGTATTTGGAGAAGAAACAAATTCTTCCGGACAGACAGACAGACAGACAGACAGACAGACAGACAGACAGACAGACAGACAGACAGACAGACAGATAGACAGACAGACAGACAGACAGACAGACAGACAGACAGACAGACAGACAGACAGACAGACAGACAGACAGACAGACAGACAGACAGACAGACAGACAGACAGACAGACAGACAGACAGACAGACAGACAGACAGACAGACAGACAGACAGACAGACAGACAGACAGACAGACAGACAGACAGACAGACAGACAGACAGACAGACAGGCAGGCAGGCAGGCAGGCAGGCAGGCAGGCAGGCAAGCAGTCAGGCAGGCAGGCAGGCAGGCAGGCAGGTAGGTAGGTAGGTAGGTAGGTAGGTAGGTAGGTAGGTAGGTAGGTAGGTAGGTAGGTAGGTAGGTAGGTAGGTAGGTAGGTAGGTAGGTAGGTAGGTAGGTAGGTAGGTAGGTAGGTAGGTAGGTAGGTAGATAGGTAGGTAGGTAGGTAGGTAGGTAGGTAGGTAGGTAGGTAGGTAGGTAGGTAGGTAGGTAGGTAGGTAGGTAGGTAGGTAGGTAGGTAGGTAGGTAGGTAAAAGTGTATCAATGCCGCAGGTTGTGTGTAAGAAAGTAGGGTCAGGGCGCCAGCACTACTCTACATTTTAGACCTCCATAGGGACATAATGTTGTTGACTATATTATGTGGCAACTCAGAGTAACTCAACAACTTTCAAAATGACTCTCTATCCAGGCTATCAAGGCCCTGTTCATAATTATGAAATCATTGTAGAGTTTCACACTTCGATCTGTTTAATGATGATGCGCACGGTAGCAATTTGGTTAAGCATGATCTTTCCTTCCTAAAGCCCGACATATTTTCTTTTAGATTGCTTCTAGTATTGTGGTCGTTCTTTTGATATCCGCTGTCGGTATACTATCTATTAATGAAACATTCCAAATGCCAAGATATTCGCAGGTAAACTGAAGACGCCAAAACTCACACTACTACAAGGTGCTGCCCTTCTAATAATCATTTTTTAATGGCGAAATCCGATCGATATTCTTGACAATTTTCACGATTCCATGGTCACTGATGTAATTTACGCCAGATGAGTAAACTTTCTTTCGCTTATCTCGCTGATCTATCTGTAAAATATGAAAAAAAATCGCCAACTAAAGTGAAGTAAAAAACTTACCATCTGATGATCCTGTTTCAAAATTCCCTTCTACTTCAGCACTTTCATCACCAACAGAATTGACCGCTTTAATGTTGTATTTGTAGATGGTGTCTGCTTGAAGATCTGATAGCACGACTTCAGGGGAGGTCACTGTAAAATTCCGTATTTGAAGTTTCGATTCAAAAATAATAGTGTAGTTATCTACCCTTCCTTCCGATGGTTGAAATCGTATGATATAAGGTGGTTTATCGAGTTTACTGGCTGTGGTGTTCACCGAACCTGGTTGGGCTGGGGCTAAATTTAAAAAAAAAAAATATTCAAATGTATAGCTACATATTTTTAATTAATGTGTATATTCTAAACCTAGTATGCTAATCAAAATATACAGTTACAAATTAAAATTCAAGTTGCTGCGATTTTATAATAGTACTTGACATGGTTATGGTTAATACAAAGAACATCAAACTTATAAACAAGTATATTCAAAATTAACACTAACAATACAACATTTCTGGATTTTAAAAAGAATTTCATTTCTAAAAAACTAACTCAACTAATTGAATAATACATTTACGTTTTAACGGAATATTACATAATTCTAAAATTTTTTTTTTATTTCATTTACTATTTTACAAACTTGAAGCATAGAGCTTTAATGCTAGAAAAAATAAACCGGGAGTGATCTCCCCTAAACTTTCTCGAATATTCATATATAAAACAACACTGGATGGAGACTCCATTTTAAATACTTAGTTTTTAAAATAGAATAAAATCTCGTAGAAAAAAGAATTGCACACTAAGTGAACGCCAAATAAAATGTGCATAATAGTGCGGAATATTATTTGTACTTAATAAATTGACATTAGTTTTTTGAGAAATCGGGAATAGCGCAAATTACTTTTTTCGGTAAACCGAAATTACTCAAAATTTGATAGAAGGTAGAGAATTAGATCTTTTACTTACATGTGAAATTTATTTTATCTATCTGAAATAGTACATAAGTTATAGGCTTTTCAAAAATTCAAAGTAGTAAAAGATCCACATCCGGTTATCGGAAATCGCTCAAAAGTTGAAACGGATATTCGATTTTGATAAAATACTTATTGTAACAACATGAATTCTTTGTTGTTGTGGGTTAGTTTTCACACAGGAATACAAGCAATAGTGGCAACTTCAAATGATGACTTTATTTACACTATATACAGTGCGAATGATAAATCCATGGTTATTCATGGTAAATCCATATTAGAAGATACTCCACAAGTACAGTCACAGTCACGACTCCAAGTCATGGAGACATCTTACATTCACTGCCACAGTTCAAGTCCCAAGTCCTAGCACACAACACCCGTTCACCTTTTTCTCTCCCTTTTATACGGTCCATTCTCTCCCCTTACGTACATGAGCGATCTCACCCAAAAACATGAAAAAACACATGACGATCGCTCAGACAGTCCTTCCGCTAGCCAGGTACTCTTCATTCATGCAAAACACAATATAATAAAGATACATAATTATACAGTCTGTGACACGTCCCCCCTTCAAATAAAATTTTGTGTAACAAAATTTATAAATACAATATTGGTAGGGCACGATCATGTGCCAGACAACAAAATTTTTATACATCTCAAAAAACATGGAAAAATACATTCTTTGTAGACTAATGCACAAGCATTATGTGTAATATATTCAAATATGAGAAAGAAAAACATTTCAATTACCAAGTAATTGTATAAACAAGACAAATGAGTTTAGTGAATTACCAAACTATAATACATAGTTGAAATTATCAAAGACTTAATTCAACTCATGAATTAAATAATTATATCCTATGTAGTAAAAAAAACTTCTTTATCATCAAGGCATGTTGTTACTACACTTAAGTAATAAACCTTATTGTCTCCCCTAGTCGACCCATTTCAGTCATATCTAGGTCACAACACAACATTCTTGCCTTTCACAGGTATCGACTAATACAATTCATCATTGAGACTTCCGTCTTATTGTTATGCGGAATAAATAGTCTCTAACTTTTACTTGATTTACTTTATTCACTGTTAATTAATAGTATAGAATAGGTTTAACATAATACAGTTTACAATCTTTTGAAATAGTACACAATTTATATTACTGATACAAATTGTTTGATATCTATATTTTACAGTTACAGACTGTATAATATTAATAAACTGTAAATTGATAATGTATTAATATCCCTTTATTTTTTTTTTATTTTTTTTTATTATAAATGTTGACTAATGTGGTTTAGGGTAGGCTCAGTTTCTGTACTGTCAACATTTTGCCGAGACAAAAAATCTGCTACTACATTATCCTTCCCTTTTATAGACCTAATTTCATACTGAAAATCCAGCAGAATCAATAACCATCTGTTTATCTTGCTGTTGGCTATCCGTTTGTTGTTCATAGCTAACAATGGCTTGTGATCGGTGAGGAGAATGAATTTTCTTCCTAATAAGTATTTCTGCAGTTTGGTCATGGACCATACAATGGCCAGACATTCTTTCTCCACAGTTGAGTAGTTTTGTTCCGTTTTGTTTAGTGACCTACTCAGATAAAATATAGGCCGTAGTACCTTGTCCACTTCTTGCATTAAACATTCACCCAATCCATAATTTGAAGCATCCGTTACCAGTGTTAGTGTCTTCTCAAAGTTAGGGGCAGTAAGCGTTACTTCATGTTCAAAGTACTGCTTTATTAGCTGTAAAGCATCCTGACATTCTTTAGACCAATTTATTGTTCTACTGCTGCCCTTGGTAATTAGCTGTCTTAGAGGTAGAGTTATATCTGAGTACTTGGGTATGAATTTGCTGTAGAAATTAAATAGACCCAATACACCTTTGACTTCTTTCTTGGTTTTAGGTATTTCTAAGTTGAGAATTTTATTTTTATTTCCGTCAGTAGGTCTAATTTGATTTTTGCCTACTTTGAATCCCAAAAAATCCATTTCTTCATTTGCAAATTTTAACTTTTCAGGTGCAATAGACGCGCCATGCTCCCTTAATTTTGTTAGTACCTCTCTAACTGACTGCATATGTGTCTTGATATCCTTAGAATGGATACATATGTCATCTACAAAATGTACGACATTCTTTATATCTGCCAGCATTATTCTCATAAATCTGGAGAATGTTGCTGTTGAATTTACTAGGCCAAAAGGCATAACATTCCACTCAAATAATCCTTCATCAGTTGTAAACGCTGTGTATTGTTTGGATTCCTCATCCATACCTATTTGCCAAAAACCTCGGTTTAAGTCCAGATGAGTGAAAATTGTTGAGTTCCCTATCTCTTCCAATAGTTCATTTGTATCTCTCAGTGGTTCTGCGTCTATTTTCGTGATTTTATTCAAATCTCTATAGTCACAGCAAATTCTTACTTTTCCATTCTTCTTTTTTACTATCACCATTGGTGAAGCTACAGATGAATTTGAGCGTTGTATTTTGTTAGTTTCGATCAAATGATTTAATTCTTTCTTCACTGCTTCTCTGTATGCATAAGGTACTGCATATTGTTTCTTTTTGAAATTAGCATCCTTGTTTAATTCTATGACATGAGTAATTGTTCTTGTGTAGCCAGTATCTTCAGTAATGACATCTTTGAATTCGTTCAATAACTGCTGTAGTTCTTTTCTGTACTTCAGCGGAGTAATTTGCTGGATTTCTTCTTCTGTTTGAATTATGTTCGCTAAGGTAGGTTGTTCCTCTATAATTACTACGCTAGATTGTTCTTCTATTTGACGTTTTGACAGTTCTTCATCACGACCAACTTCCTCATTTATGTCAGTGTCATGTGTATTAATGTCCTCCATCCCTTGAGTTATCTGATCAGGCATGTTATCGTATTTCCTCAGTAGATCAACATGTACTATCTTTATTGTGCCTTTGATGTCCACAGCATAATCTACTTCGTTCACTTTCTTTTTAATCACAAATGGTCCCTGCCATAATTTGACCCCTTTCCAGGTAGGTAGCCAAACATAGACATTGTCTGTCTCCTTCAATTGCCTGAGGTATCTATTTTTGTTTTTCAATTTTCTCTGTCTGCCTGCCTCTCCCTCCGCATTTTGTTGAGCAGATTGTAATCCATATACCATTTTGCTTTTCTTTTCAGTAATGAACTCAAAAGTATCTTGTTCAGTGATTTGAGTGCCAAGTAATCTATCATTTAGCAACGAAAGCGGCCCTCTTGGATTTGATCCAAACATTAATTCAAATGGCGAGTACCCCGTCGCGTCATGCACTGTTCCTCTATAGGCGAACAGTATCGCCGGAATATACTCATTCCACTCCTTAGGATGATCTTCTGTAGCTTTTGCTAGCATTACTTTGAGAGTCTTATTCCACCGTTCACACATACCGTTTGCTTGCGGTCTGTAGATGGTCGAGTGTACCTGAGTGATCTGCAGCAGCTTTGTTAATGCATTAGTCACATTAGAGGTAAATTGTTTGCCGTTGTCTGACAGCAGAGTTTCAGGAAAACCATATCTTGAAAAAATGTCTAATAATGCAGAACATATAGTTTCGGATTTTATATCCCTTAGGGGTATAGCTTCTGGCCATCTGGACGCCATGTCTATTAGAGTTAGAATAAATCTGTGACCTTTTTTTGATGCAATTGGTAGAGGTCCTACTATGTCTATAGCCACTTTCTCAAACACCCTTCCTATTTTATCAGTTGGCTGTATAGGAGCAATATGTTTGCTGTGTAGATGATTTTTAGTTATACATTGCTTGCATTTACCAATGTATCTTTTTACATCCTGATGGATTCCCGGCCAGAACGAGTTGTCAAGGATTCTATTCATAGTTTTCCTGACTCCCATGTGCCCCGCCAAAGGACTATCATGTGCTGTCTCCAAGACTAGACCTTTCAGTTTCTCTGGAATGACTATTTGTGTCCTTTTAATGCTGTTATTCTGAAATATTCTAACCAGTATATCATTTTTATTTCATAGCAGTGGCCTCTGTACTTTCCTTGTCGTTTATTGATGTTATTCATCAGTTTTTTTGTGACTCCATCCTCTTTTTGTAGCCTTGCCATCTCAGGCGCTGTTAAGTGCGTTTGTACTATAGGTTTTAGCTTCTCTGCGTTATCATCCTGTATAATGGCGTTTACAACCATCTTACCTTTCTTGGCTTGCCATGCTTCTAAAAATTTCATTGAGTCATCCGGAATACCCGGGATGTTGCCAATTATTAGAGGACAAATAGGGTTCTCCATCACAACTGCTGTGAATGAACCCGTAACCCATGGGCAGTCTATTTCAATCTTCGCCATATCACAATGGATAGACATCCTATTAGCTAACCTGACCTCTTGTACTTCTCCGGTGTAATCTGATTCTTTTACCATTGCTTTGTCAACAATCAATGTTGTACAGCCTGTATCCCTTAGGCAAAGTGTGTCTTTCCCATTCAATACCGCTGGGAAATAAAATAATCTTCCATTAGCATCACGGGCAGTAGCTACTATTTGTTTCGCTTCCGTATCACCGTTATTATTTTTCTGCCTTTCAATATTATTAAATGACAGCCTACTTCCTTGGTTTAAAGATCTATTCCTGTAGTCTTGCGAGTTTCTGTTGGTACCACTATAGTATCTGCTTGGACTCGGTGGTGAATATTCCCTACGGTTAGTATAGTCACCGCTGTTTCTATTGTGCTGGTATCCCCAGCTCTTATACCTCCCACTGCTATTAGGACCTTGTCGCTGTCTGTCATTCATATTGTTCAGCCTCCAGCATTCAGCTCGCATGTGACCTTCTTTACCACAGTGATAACATGTTATCCTTATTGGTCTACTCTTTCCAATGTTAGGCAGGCTGTTACGCCTTTTTCTTGTCGGCGATTGTGTTCTCGGTAGCTGTTTTTATCTGCCCGCTACTGTCTGTGCCAGTACGGTTTCCTCTGCCGACAACTGCTCATGGGGGTGTGAATCCCTGAACGTTGCCACCGCTATTCTAAGCTGATCTTCCGTTTTTATTTTTCTTTCTTTTAGAAAGCTGAATAAGCCCTTGCCCGCTTCATCATAAATTTTGAGGATTAGAAACTGATCTAACAGAGCCTTTGGATCAGTTGTGTCTATCTCCGCTAGTTCAAAGTATTTTAGCACGTTTTCCTTCATTTTAAATAAAGTGGCCGTTGTGTCCAGGTGGCTCTCCAGTTTCATCGCCACAAAGGCTTTTCTATATTCGTCCTCTGACTTCCCATAACAAGTGAGTAGTTTTTTTTTAATATGGTCATAGTCCATTTTTTGAATATCAGTAAGCGTGCCAATTATGTTTAAACATTCACCCGTGAGCCTGCTCAGCAAAGTACTTGCCCACATGCTTCTACTGTAGTTGTTAGTTGTGGCAATGCACTCAAATTGTGTTAGGTAGTTTAATATTTCTTCTCCTTCTCTTAAGTCCCTGAATTTCAGCTGGAATCTGGTTGAGTGCTCACCCGCCCGTTCAGTTGCGGCCATATTACTATTTATTTTTCTCAGTTCTGTTTCATGCTTGTGCTTTCTGTCATCTTCTTCTCTTTTTGCTGCAATCTTTCTTTCATCATCTTCTATTTTCCAATTCCTTTCCTCTAACCTCCTAGCCCTCTCTTCTTCCTTCCTAGCCTTCTCTTCTTCTTTCTCTTCAGCTTTCGCCTTAGCAGCTTTTTCTTCTCTAGCCTTCTCTTCTTCTTTTCTCTCAGCTTTCTCTTTAGCAGCTTTCTCTTCATCTTTCTTTAGTAGTTCTTTTATAAATGCCAACCTGTCTTCCTTTGGAATGTCAAGTTCCTTCACAAGTGCTGCATATTTTTCAAAATTTGACATTCTGATATATTTTCTATGACATAAAATATAAATTCATTAGTTGACAATAGAGAAATGTTAATTAATTTACAATACTCTTTCTTGGTTTCTGGCTTGTTTTAGTTGACATCTGGTAATCCAAGAAAAGTTCATAGTACATATATACGTCCAAAAATAGTTCACTTTGTTGATTCCAAAAAGTTGAAAAAATTCAAAATAGTTCTAGTAGCCTGTTACAGAGTAGAAATTTGTCCAGTTTTAGATAAGACATCTTTAGGAACAGTTTACAATTAATAAACTAGATCTGCTCATCCACAGTAGAAGAACTTGAACAGCTAATCCATATAGAAAAAACTTGAACAGCTAAATCCAAATAGAAAAAAAACACACATTTGTAGGTGTAACAGTAATCTGTTACAGACGATAATAATCCGACATTGGTAAGACAATGTCGAAAATAATGTGATAATAATTATCACGTTGATTACTTGACTTGACTGTAGATAACTATTAATAATTTCATGTACTTGCTTGATATATACCAGCGTTGTTCACTGGCAAACAGTGTAAGACCACTTCAAAAACGTTGAAAACTGCTTACAATAATAATGTGACATCACGTCCACTTCAGCCAACAAAGTAACAAATGTTGACCATCTCTGACAATAATGTATCAGCTTCTTCAATCACCTGACTCCAATGTATCAACACGTCTGATAATAATGTAGAAACACTTCTTCAATTGCTTCTGACAATGTAACAGTAGTAGTAGACGCTCACAATGTAGCAACTGTTGTTGCCCCCACTTCTGACACCATATGTAACAACATGAATTCTTTGTTGTTGTGGGTTAGTTTTCACACAGGAATACAAGCAATAGTGGCAACTTCAAATGATGACTTTATTTACACTATATACAGTGCGAATGATAAATCCATGGTTATTCATGGTAAATCCATATTAGAAGATACTCCACAAGTACAGTCACAGTCACGACTCCAAGTCATGGAGACATCTTACATTCACTGCCACAGTTCAAGTCCCAAGTCCTAGCACACAACACCCGTTCACCTTTTTCTCTCCCTTTTATACGGTCCATTCTCTCCCCTTACGTACATGAGCGATCTCACCCAAAAACATGAAAAAACACATGACGATCGCTCAGACAGTCCTTCCGCTAGCCAGGTACTCTTCATTCATGCAAAACACAATATAATAAAGATACATAATTATACAGTCTGTGACACTTATATATGAAATTTCATCAACCTAACTGTAACGGTACTCAAGTTATCGTGTTTACACACACACACAAACAGACACACATACACACAGACATTCAGATAATATTGCAAAACTATGTTTTTCCAACTCAGGGAGCTCTAAAACGTCGAGATTTGCAAAAATCTCGATTTTTTTTTTTTTTTTGCACGATTTCAAGACTTTCTCTATACTTCGTATATACCAGAAAGTAAAAAATTGGGGAGGGAAATTAAATTAAAACTAAAGCTAAATCTTTGCCGCAGAAATAAAATAAGCATACTCACGCGTTACAAGGTTTACAACAGTGCTTATGTTCCTAGGAGGATAAAATCCATGTGGCTGAAAGAACGTGTAGACCGTGATTGTGTAGCTGGTACCTGGTGCTAGACCAGTCACCGTTACACCACTATCATTGGCGGCTTGTGTTCCCTTATCTGTTTTATTATTTTTCGACTCCCACGACACAACGTACGTTCTATTGGGTCCTAGTGTAGAGGCAGCCCATTGTAGCTCAACTCCACTTGTGTTCTTGTTCTTAGCTTGTGGGCGTTGTACAAAAAAATTCTCGGCTGACAAGAGGATGGTTAAATAAAATTACATAACTTGTTCTAATTTTAAAACCTATGCAATAGATCAACGCGTTTTATGAAGAACAAATACTGTCAGTCTTATGCCTACACTCTATGGATTTACTTGGATCTTTCTCAATATTACTCTTAAACAAAAGAGATTGCCACACTTTAATAAGAGAAAAGTATAATCTATACGGTCTTGTGAAATAGGCCTACTTATAAAGTTCACAAATTATTGCAGTATGAAAATACAGTTGTCTCATGAATATCAAAATAATTTTCTTTAACTATTCCTTATTAAATGCAATGTGTGGCAAACATTTAAATCAAATTTGAAACAGCTATGTACAATATCAACCTAACATTTTACACAATAAAATAAACAAAACTTACTAGAAACACAAGTGCTGTTTTCAAAATAATATGTATCCATACACAAACATGTTGCATTTCCGTTGACGTTAGGTAGACAATCTATGTGTTTGCTTGATTTACACATAGCAGATACACTATAGCTACAATCCAAATTGTGATCTAGTGCTGAAGTATTTAGAGCTATTATGAATTATATTACAAGAGTTTAATGTACAAAAGATGCATATTTCTATTTTTTCCAACAGCGCAGCCAATTGCAATGTTTTTTTTTTAAAATACAAATGTATTCTTTAAAAAAACTATTATAAGTAGCAATTGACTTAAGAACAATTCATGTAAAATATACATTGACTCAACATTGGTTTAAACAAGAAAATATTTTACTGTGTAATTGATTTATATAGTATTTATCAATTTTTTTTCTGTTTAAAATTTCTTTAAAATAATGGAATATATTTTATGCATTACCAGGTGTACAACTATCATTAATTTCACTGTAGTAGTAGTCTGTCTCACATGAACACATCGCATTTAAACACCGCATGTTATTTTTGCAATGTTGTATTTCCGTACAGTTTTCTTTAAAAGCGATTTCTGTAATACACGGATTAAGAAAATCAAACTGAAACATTTTCCAAATCTGTATTTTAAAGAAAAAATGAATGCTTGTAATTTTATTTTGTATTAAAACACCACTCTGAAATAATAATTCGAATTTTAAAAATGTTTAAAATGATTTGTTTCGTAATTTAAATAAAGTTTCCTTAATTTTCAAAACTCATTAAATTATTTAGCGACCAACGTTGTTTTGTTTTAAAACTATTTTTAACAGCTTAACATCTAAAGAACTTTAAATACGTTTGCCATGTTTAGCACTTAAAAGTACGTACTAAACAACAAAACATAGCTTGAAAACAATTTAGGTTGTTATGTAACCCGAAAAAAACTACGATTTTGACTTTTTCGGCACTATTAAACGCTTAGACTGTTTTATTTATGCATTTAAAGCAATTAAATTTCAGTATATATCAAAACCTTTGTCGAGATAATTTTTTGATAGGGCTAGTAGGTCCGAAAAACATATTTCGCTCAAATATGAAAAATTGGCATAATTTTTACCAAAAACTGTTTTTTTTTTCTATAAAAACCATCAAAACTCCCTTGTGAAATAAGTTATATGATTAATTATAGATAAAGTCTTGAGAAAATGGTGGGAATTGTATTACAAATTTTAAAAAGTAGCAGGCTTTATAGTGTAAAAACGCGAATTGAGAAAAACCAAAAAAACTAACAGGAAAATAAAATGTGATTAAAAGCTTGTCCAAACGTTTGCAGTTAGCTCTCTTACATAATACTTCTCGATAACAGTAACAAAACGATAATGCTATGTTGCATTCATAATACTTGATCGAGTCTCTGAAGTGTAGAAAATACATACTCGGGTAACAGGAATATGTTGAATTATTGTAGTATTTATCACTTGGACAATCACAGTAGCCACCAACACAAATCATATTATTTCGGCATTGGTCCACTCTATAACATGATTTGTCATATGGAAGATCTGACAATTAAACAGCAATCATTTAGCAATATAAAGAAAATAATATGCAAAATGAATTTTTAAAAATATGCATTGAGCGTTTATCATGTGTGCAGCTGTAAGCATAAAATTGTTTGGTAAAAACATATTTTCGCGCATGAACATCCACCAACCACCACACTCAAACGCCCCACCTGCCCATTCCCTTACACGCA